TGGAAAAGTTGAAGCAGCTGATATACTCCAATGATATTCCAGTGATCACGGATAATCCATCAATCTTACGTGAAAGGCCTCAATTCCATCTCCTTTATGAAGAGCTTGACTCCATGATCCAAACCATTTTCAACCATGAAGACCAAGATCTACACAACTTTGAAGAAGTGAGCAAACTGAAGAAAAGATTCAAAGCTGCAGCTGAAGAGGCAGAAGATACTGTTGATGTCTTTCTATCCACTGTCCACTGTAGAAATAACGGATATTTCCCTAGATCTGATGTCTTTCAGCCCTCTCTCCACCTTGAGGTTGCTATAAGATCAATCGAGTCTATCAAGATAGAGTTCATGACCATTAACATCGATAACATGAAGATGGACTCTTCTCTGAGAACTGATAGACTGCAAACACAATCTGCTGGAACTTCCCACACTAGAAATTCAAGGGGTTCAAAGAAATTATTGGAAAATGTCGTTGTGGGGTTTGATCGTGATGCTGAGATAATACGGGACAAACTTGTCGAAGATAGAAATTCAAGGGGTCTCTATTGTGGGTATGGGTGGAATAGGTAAGACTACCCTTGCTAACAAAGTGTTCACTGATCCTTATGTTGCTTATCATTTTCACGTCCGTGGATGGGTCACTGTTTCACAAACATATGACAAGAGGGATCTGTTGATTCAAGTTCTGTCATCCATAGATGATCAATTAGAGCTTGAGAAAGCAACGGACTGTCAACTCCGTGCAATGTTGCACAAACGCCTAATGGGTAAGAGATATTTAATTGTTATTGATGATATCTGGAGTATAGAGGCATGGGACAAGTCGCAGTTGTTTTTCCCTGATGATAACACTGGAAGTCGAATTCTGCTTACGAGTCGCCTCACTGAAGTGGCTTCACACGCAAAATCACACGGACTCATTCATCAATTACAACATTTGACTGAAGAAGAAAGTTGGAAGTTGTTGTGTGAGAAGGTGTTCCAAGGAGACGAGTGCCCCCAATGGTTGATTGAACCTGGAAAGCAAATTGCAAAAAACTGTCACGGATTGCCTCTTTCTGTGGTTGTGATGGCAGGAGTTCTAGCAAAAGAAACAAGGACTAAAGATTTATGGCTAAAAATTTCTTGCAGTTTCCATTCATACATTGCTAGTGACGAGAAAGGATGTCTGGAAACAATAGCATTAAGTTACCACCATCTACCTCCTCACTTGAGAGACTGCTTTCTCTATCTTGGAGGGTTTCCAGAAGACTACCCGATCTCCTCACCAAGGTTGCTTTGGTTATGGATGGCTGAGGGATTTATACAAGAAGATGGAAGTCAAAGCTTGAAGGAAATTGCAAACGGTTACCTGATGGATCTAGTTGACAGAAATCTTTTAATCATAGACAAATGGTATGCCTGGGGTGATGTCAGACGTTGTAAAGTCCATGATCTTGTGAGGCAGGTATGTGTGGAAAAAGGAAAAGAAGAAAATTTCTTCCTGAAAATAGACTCCCCACCATCTAATAATGTTTGTGAGGTAATTACCACATATAAGAAACGCCGTGTGGTCACAAATCAAGAAATGCACATTATGAGTTCGTCTCTTCCAACCACCCCAAGTGTTCGATCACTATTGTGCTTTACTAGGAAAACAACCATAACTGACATTATCTCAAAGTTTTTCCCCTCCTTTTCACTACTTAGGGTGTTAAGTCTAGAAAAATGTAGATTGCTTTATTTCCCCCCTGGTTTAGCATTACTAGTTCACTTAAGGTACCTCTACATTTGGCTGTCATCATTTCAACCATCAATATGCATTTTATGGAACATTCAAACCCTCATTGTTAAAACAAGTTCTAGTCCTATGGTTTTACCTAGTAACATATCAAATTTGGTGAATCTGAGGCATCTAAGAAGTAATGCAGATCTTTATCTTCCTTCAGTTGGAAAACCATTGAACTTGGAATTTATTACAAAGGTAGAGTTGGGAGATGGGGTAGATAATTTTAAGAAATGTTTTCCCAGGATCAAGGAACTTACATCTACTCTTTACTCCGACAAGGAAAATGACTTTAAGGTACTCCATTACCTTCAAATCCTGACGTTATTTGGATCAGTTCAGCGAGAATTTCGCAGAAGTGCACCAAACTTAGGAAAGAATCACATTATTAGGTTCCCTGAAACACTGAAAGTACTTACACTTGTAAGGTGTGGTCTACCATGGAGCAACATGTCAATCATTCAATCATTACCTAATCTTGAGGCTCTCATACTAGAAGACAATGGGTTTGAGGGAACCCTGTAGGAAACAGGTGAGGATCAGTTTCAACGGTTAAAAGTCTTGAGACTTAAGAAGTTAAATATCAAACAATGGAAAGCCTCAAGCATCAACTTTCCATGTCTTGAACGATTACGAGTGGTGAGTTGCGTTCATCTTGAAGAGATACCCCTTGAATTAGGGGACATCTCAACGCTCGAGTCTATTTACATTTTGAATTGTGATGCTTCTCTTCTCGTATCCCTTCAAAAAATGCGAAATGAGCAAGATGATGCGGGAAACTATGAACTGAAGATCAAAGTTGATGGAAGGAAAATGCCCTCTTGTGTACCCAAGCATGATGATTAATACATTTTA